AGGTGGCTGCCTCTCAGCCCTCGCTTGCCCCCCGCCCAAGGACGCCCGGTGTCTCCCGGGCTGGCTGGCAGTGCTTTGCCATGATCGGTTCCCTGCTTGGGGAACCGATCATGCCAAAGCAATGCTTTTTTTAACAGATGATCGGCGATTCCAAAATGGCCGCCCCCTGTTTTCTGGACGGATTCCTCGCTTACTGAGGCGGCGAAAATGGCCGCCCCTATGGAGGATCTTCGCTGAACTGTGAGTTTTTGCCCCATAAGAACGCATTAAACCGGGTTTAATGCATTCTTATGGGATTTTTTGTTCCGTTTAGCGATGTTTCCGGATAGCGACATTAATCCTGGAACGGATTAACGTCGCTATGCAGGGCACCACTGTATTGGCGAAAGCATTCCAAGTTTTATCACCTCCTAACAACGGGTCAGAGAGGGGCTTCCAGTCTTCTTCTTTAAAGAGGTTTCCCCCAACAGAGTTCCAAGGACCCAGCCAGTCTCCTTGTGGATTGGAGTTCAATAGTAGTCCGGGTTCTCCTTCCAATAGGGGTACTGTGTCCTCATCCCGGAGGCCCACCCAGGCAGGTTCCCTGGAGGGCATAAGGGTCTGCGGCCCACCCAGGCGGGTTCCCTGGAGGGCGTAAGGGTCTGCCATGGTCCAACAGATACCCCCTCATCTGGGTCTGCATCACCCTCCATTCAATTTTTCCCTCCTTTCTCTCCCTACACGCTCTTTTTCTTCCCTAAGTTTCCTCCTCCACTCCTTTGCCTCCATCTCACCCCAATAAGACGGTCTCGGGGTCACTTCCCTCCTCCTGCTATAGTCTGCCTCCTCTTTGGGTATTTGGAGGCTTTCCCACTTCCCTGTCCAAGGGTCTTTCATCCAAATCCATTCCCAACTTGGAGGCAGTTCCCCTTCTCCCCCTTTTATATCTGCAAACCCCACCTCCACCTCTACCCGGGGTTTTTGTTCCTTTCCAATCAAGGTTTTCCCGCTTTCCTCAACCGTCAACCTTCGCACTTCTTCCTCCACTGCTACTGGGTCTGTCTCTGTAGCCTCCGTCTTTTGCCCTCAACCGTCAACCTTCGCACTTCTTTCTCCACTGCTATTGGGTCTGTCTCTGTAGCCTCCGTCTTTTGGAAGCAGGCCACAGGTGAAGTTTGTACCCCTGTCTCTATGGAGAGGGGACGAGACGGCACTCCACTGAGAATAGCTGTTTTCTTGCCTCCAGCCTCACATATACACATGAACAAAATGGACCGGGCTGGAAGATCACAGTCCCCTGGGGCACATGGAAACCCATAAAAAGAACTGCACTGGGCAAGAAAAGACTCACAGGTAGTTACCCAAACACACTCCATCCCTGCAGCAATCTCATTATTGCTGGCAGCTAATGGAAAGCTAGTTTGAGCAATCCAGCCAAGAGACAAAGCTGGGAGAGATATTTCTCATTACATTTAGAAAGTTGGCCGCTACAGTCAGTAACAAAACCACCAAGCAAAAGGCAACTATTCTTCTGCATGTCCACTCACATAGAGAATTTAAAAATATGCTAAATAGAAAAAAGAAAAGACAAGACACTAAAGGACAAGGAGAAGTCTCTTTAGTTTCATAGAGTGTGTTTTGTGGCACAGTAATTTGGGGCAATTATTAGCTATATACACACAGGCAAAAAGGTAAAGGTTTAAAAATGATTTAAAAGCAATTAAATTGCTTTTTAAAAAAAAAGATGTGGAAAACATCAATTCTGGAAATGTCACCCTAAAGAATACGAGAAACCAAACTCACAGCAGTGATGGAGCAAACACACCTCTCAAAGCTTTACTGTGTGCCTCTACAGAGCACAAATCCAAGTTCCAAATGTTCATGAAGTCATTAAGTGTCATGTTCAGCTGCCAGCTAAAGGCTAAGCTTTTAGAAAACTCGGTTCCCTCCTTCTTCCCCCACCTCCTCCTCTGCTACAGTAGTGCAAAGCAATCGCCCACTCTGAATGCAAGTGATCTTGCACTCAGACACTAGGTGGTTGTCTTCTGTACAGAAAACCCTACTCAGAATGGGACTTTTCTAAAAGGCAACAATGCGAGATTAATGAGGCTATTCATCATAATTAACATCATAATCAACCACCTGGCACTTTCCTGACAAGCAGGGTTTTGCAGGTGTTGTGTGAGAAGAATACTCTGTCTTCTAACAATCCAGTCCCTATGCACATTTGCTTAGAGGTCAGGGTTACCATGCCTAATGAGAAAAACTGTGGAAAGTGCAAAACCTGGAAATACACACAATCAACAGTTTGTCTACTCTGTGGCAAAAACAATATCCCAAACTTTTCCAGGTATAAGGAATCTAGTGCTTGCTTGCTTAGTTGGCTTGAATGAGAAGCCCCGAGGCTCAAACATCAGACTGATGGCTTCCCCTCATTACCCCAAATTTACAACACTCAGCTGTGATGAAACAGGACAAAAACTTAAATTGATATTTTACTGCACAAGGTACCAGCACAGAAATTGGGCTCAACCCTGGGTTTGAAGATACAGCTGAAATAATGTCTTCTTTAATGCAAAACCAGGCTCCTGTTGCAAAGATCTTCATAGAGACAAATAATAATGAAAACGATAGTTCTAAGTCATTTTACATTGGGGAGCAGCATATGTGTTTTATACGTATACCCCAAAATATAGGCAGAAATCCTGTTGCTTGATAAAATATGCTGCACTAGAGGAGGTCCAATGGATCATGGAGGAGTTGAGTCACCAAATCCCCACTGATTAAATGGACATACCCTACTGCCACTTACTACAGTAAGGAACAGGACTGCAGCAGGCAACTAGTGCCATCTTGTGGTTGCATAAACCTGTAAGACAGTAGATAACAACAGCAATACTATAGGCAACATGAAGACAAAGAGAAAGAAACATGCTTTTCCCCACAAGAGTAAAATGCTGCAAAAACTCAGTCTGGAAGTCCCTGTGGAGCTTGCAGACATCAAACAAAATTTTAGAAAAACAAAAATTTTAGGAAAGAAACACAGTGAAAGCCATATGGAGCACTTGACATTCATCCATAAAAATGGGAAAATACGTGAGCACAGCAACTGTATAGTGCCAGAATGACACATACATTTCACAGGACAAGAAGTCAGCATGCATGACAGTTCCATGCCACATGGCACACAGGAAGAGGAAAATGTGCTCGTCATCATGAAACAGCACTAATTCAACATGCATGACACCCACAACCCACACAGGGTTACAGCGAGCTAGTGACCTCAAGTAGTTCAGAACAAGAAAATGAAATTCTTTGGCATCCCTAATGCCCCTTTTCAGTTTAGCTCTGGCCTCTCTGTACTGTAGTTCATCACCAGAATGAAAAGCAGCATTTCCGGCTTTTAATAAAAGGCGCACTTCTCTATTTAGCCAAGGCTTGTTATTAGAAAACACTCGTACTTGTCTGGTGGCAGTAACAACATTGATGCAGCTATGAAGTTATGAGGGTACAACAAGCTTATATTTCAAATGTAACGTAGCAATCAGGCGCCACACTGCTACTCTTCTGAGAGGGAGATGAAAGGAGCAGCATTTTCTAGTCTTTTTTAAGTTGCTTTGAAAGAATACTTTTGGGCATCTTTAGAGGAGTTTTCAGTGGAATGTTTATGCCATTCTCTTTTCCGCCCTAATTTTTTTTTAACAAAAAGATTAATATAACGTAACTCTCTGTTTTTAGAGCAGGGAACAGTTTAGAGCAGTTATTAGTAACAACAAATTGCCACTCCAGCACACTAGCAAGAATTAACCATTTTCAAAAACTATACTTCCAAACTCTATCTCCACCATCAAACCTCTTACCGCTTGTAGGCTGAATGGTCATTCTTCACACTGCACTTCATATTTTTCAGTTCATCTAAAACTGCAAACATGTTGATAAACTTCCCAAGCGTGATCAGATAAGCTTCAGATACGAAATCCTTTCTCCTCTCTGCATGACATAAACGCTTCACCTCTCCACAGAATCTTTCAATTGCATTTCTCTGTTGATAAAAAATAAATATAAGCTTTAAAAACCCACAGCTCACGTTACCCTCCATTTAACTTCAAGGTATGACAAAACTTTAAACAAGAGCTGGGATGTACCCACTGGTTGGATGAACACAAAAATTCTTGAAGTAACTTGCCCACTAAAAACATCAACTGTAACAACAAATAAAATTGTGCCAGTAACTAGTTTCTGTTTACCTGAAAATACATAAAATTCATCAGTTTTGTGACCTCTGGCTCTAGAACCTCCACTGTTTTTTCATAAATTTCCACTCTGTTTGGTTGCTCATTACATTTCACCTGAAAAAGAGAGAGAAGTTGGACGTTCAATAAATTATTGAGACATTTTGCACAAGTTTTCCTCCACTTCAACCTCCACAAAGATTTCAGTTTCCAAACTATGATGTGCCATGTGCCCTATGGTTTGCAAAATAAATAAGCGAACAGCAAGAACATCCTAAGCCATTAAGTATTTTAACTGAATACTGTGTTAAGGCTGCAAGGGTACATTAATCAAATTACCACAATGCAGCTAGAGTTTTCTCAAAGACAAACCAAAGGACAAATTATATATGTATGCTCAGAGTATACACGGTCACCATGTTCAAGACCAGGACTTGAGTATTTCTCTCTTGAAATGTCAAAGAATGTACTTCCATACAAATCCCAGAGTTGCTAGCTACAAAATACAGATCTTACCCAATAATGTCCCAATTATACTTTGCAGATTATTGGACATTTTAAAGTTTGTAGAAATTCCTCTAATTCTGCAGGTTTGAGAAAAAGACTGAGCTGGTCTTTTTTCCTCCCTTGTACTTTCAAAATGTTGTACAATTCCTTTTCAACTTTTTACCCATTTCTTGAAACAAAAAAACTAGAAGGTAAAGTGGAAAGGGGCTTAAAAACCCCACAGAGGTGGCTGATCCTATAATGCAGAAGTCCCCAGCCCCTAGTCCACAGCCTATCCAGGACCGGGCAGTGAACACAGATTTCCTACCCACAGTCGAGCGCCATCGCATGCATGCGTTCTGCCCCCTGCGAGTGCACCGTGCGCTTGTGTGCAAGTGCACTTTGTGCATACACGTGAGTGTCCCCTGTGAGAGTGATGTGTGCATGCATGCAAGTGAGCTCCGCCGCTGCGGGTGAGCCACACAGCCCCAACCAGTCCGCGGTTGGGAAACAGTCAAAGACCACTGCCATAATGAAACCCAAATCTCCTGGGCCCAACAGTTCCGTAAGAACATCCACAATGAGAGCAGGAGGTTCCTCTATAGCAGGAGTCCCCAGCCCTCAGTCTGCAGCCAAGTGCTGGTTTGTGACCGCAGAGACAGATCTCCTGCCCCCTGCATGCACTCCCCCCATGCATGCCCACATACCCCCCATGCACGCCCACATACACGCACGGCCCGCCCGCCCACATGGGTGCCCTACTCACCTGCAAGCACACCTCACCCACCTGCACATGTGCAAGACCCGCCCACCCATGAGCATGCCCCACCCATCCGCACATGCACGAGTGCACCCTCCCCGCCCATGCACACAAGCAGCTCCACCCTCACAAGCACGGGCGGTGCCCCCCATGGACCCCCAACCAGTCCGCGGTTCAGAAAAGGTTGGAGACCACTGCTCTATAGGATGGGGCAAAATGAAGCGGATACAGGTTCAATTTGGCTCTGCCCCTAGTAGGGCTGTAAGAAAACTGAACTGACAGTCCTCTGGTTTGATTTTGCTTTTTTACCTGAGGGATGGCTCTTGAGCAGCTTCTCCATGTGTATAGCATAACAGCATACTCTTGGCCTTCTTCCAACATTTCATTCTGCAATAAAGCAAAAACTGGCATTTGACAGAAAATACAGGAAATACTGCTAAAATCAGTGATAGTAAAAACATTCAAAACCCACACTGATGCACAGTTGCAAAAGAGATACAATCCTAAACCTTATTACAGAATGCAAATTGAATTCCTGAAATGATGTTCCACTCCTGAACATATCTACTAAGAAATCACTCTCATTTATTTCATATGAAATGCTATTAGGACGACAGTCCTCAATCAATCAACCAAAGTTTATTTGCAGTAGCCATATGCCATAGCAAAGTAAGTATAAAATCTACAAAGATACAGAACTGATGACAGTCAAACTCTTTTGTTTTTAAGAATTATTATTGCTTCACAACCAGAAACCACAGCAGTCTGTGAAACAATGCAAAGAACAGGAATATTCTTAGGATTCCCAAATGTCAAAGAATGTGGCTAATGCTAAGCTCTGATGTACACAAATATATCTAATGCAAGAAACTGACCCCAACCAGGTTCAGATGATATAGGTCCATCTAGCCTCTAAGGAGGGCAACAGGTTACCCACATACATTCTCCCAGTACCATTTTTGTGACTCCTTCAGCTCCCTTATCAGGGGGCATATCTTCCCCAATTTTTATTATTTTTTAAATCTGGAAATGTGTTTGTTCAAAAAGTGCCTTTGGGCACTCTAGAGAACATGGGAATTATTTTCCGTATTCCTACCTGCATACCTGAGCTCTTTTAAAATATATTTTACACCCCCCCAAAAAAGTTACTAGACGGCGCAAGGTGGCTTTCTTGATTAAGGTTCCAATTTTTTCTCAACAAATGTGTTAACCAAAAAATTATACTGTATGTTTAAACATGTATTTTTAAAAGAATAGAAATATACATATTAATCTGTCATATCTCTCGCCTTTAGTCCCAAACCCAACTGCTGGAAAACAGCCACTCTCAGTCATCAAAGCCATCAAATTTTGCTTCAAGTCCATTTAGAATGTTACTTATTTTGCAAAGTATAGAATAACTCAAATTAGATTGTGGTACTGCTTGTAGTTTATCACAGTTTTTTAGCCACTATCCCTTTTGCTCACTTTAAATCACCCTCCGTTTGTTTCACAGTTTTCAGTGCATCACTAAGTCCCATTCCTACAGTTTCAAGGTGGGTGACTGCTCTTGATAATCCACTAAAGTTAGATTCTATATACGGCAAGTTTTCAGCCAAGGTTTCAGAAAAGGAACCTTGCACAATCTGTATGGACGAAGATTCACAACAGTCAAATTGTTTAATTATCCACTGCAAGGAATCATAATTTGTTGAAAAATATATAGCTGCATCCAGCCAAGAACCCCAACTTGTCATATTTGAAATTACCTCATCTACATCAAAATAGTTGCTTTGAATCTTTCCAGTCACTCTATATAAACCATGTGCAAGTCATGCAATATGGATCATTTTTGGATAAAGAAGTTTAAGTCCCTTGGCTGCCTTAGTCATGTGTGGAGCAGTGTCTGTTACAAAGAGGAAGATGTTTCCACTTTTTACACCATCAAGCCAGTGTATTGAAATCCATATATTTTTGTTGTCAATAGCAGATCTTATCTTTCCTGACACCTCTTCATAGCAGGCAGAGATATAATTTTTCCTTAAAGTTGATTCATTTGGAATTGGATAACTGGTGTACTTCTCCACGAAATGTCTGAGGCTATCACTATCTAATTTATTTAAGGGAATGTTTAAAGCAATCATCATTGTACAGAGATCCTTACAAAATTCTGACTGGGTATTTGATGAACCTGCAGTTTAAGAAGAAATTCTCTTGAAAAGATGTTGCCCATTCTCAGCAAAGGTAAATCTCACTAAACTCCTCTTCCATTTCACAGTATCACAATGCTGTTAAATATTAAAACACTTTTGGGCTGACATCTTAACTTCACACAATTTCTAAAACAAAATATTATCATCCCTACTGAGAATCCAAACTCTTGAACAAAAGATCTAATTTTACACTTGCTAAACATCTACTTTTACGCATGCTGAAATCACTGGGAGGGTTGCTGACAGACAAAATATAACATTTATTACAAAACTCAGAAATATGACATAACTCTTTAAAAAGACCAAAAGAATTTCCAACCAAAATAAAAACCACTTAATTCTCACAGATTACTTATAAACATGTTTTAACTTAATTATAAATTCAAATAAAGGTTTTAGAAAAAATGACATGTCACAGAAATCTTCACCCATTGATAATTTTATCCTGTACAATTCCTGAAGATGTGTATATTCCTTGTTGAAATTTACTGAAATGTCAAGACATTACAGCCCCCATTCCAACCTGAGTACACAAGAATGCCATCTGTTTTGGCATATAAAAATCCATCTTTCTCCATACATGGCAGTAAAACCAGCAATGCAAATATTGCTCTCATATATTTTATGCTGTTGCTATGAAAAAAGAAAAGGTAATCTTAATAAAAATCATTTACCATGCTAGAATGAACTGTTGCTTGTTCAATGTATCTTGCAATACCTGTGACAAATGCATTCCTATCTTCAAAATTGGTGTTGAAGTTTGGCTGTAAGAAAGGAAAAACATAGGCTAAAGAGATTAATAATCTTGGGGGGAAAAAGTCATTCAAACCAAGGTAATTCAGAGCTCTTTTAAGTGCTACACAGATTTCTCTCCTTCATATGCACACACACATGTAGCAGGCACAAAGACACATGAACAGAAGCACACACACATACATACAATACATACACACACACACGCACAAGTTGATGCCGATTTATGATGACCTTTTTCAGATAGAGAATATTCCAACATTCCTATCCTTGGGAACTTCCTGGGAATATACAGCTTGCCCAAGGCCACACAGGCTGGCTCTGTTCACAGAAGGCACAATGGGCTAACTGAAGCCCCAATCTCTGGTTCTGTCACCAGATACCCAACACATTAAACTATGCAGCCAGGCTCTTTTACAGACAACATACCTGATAAAGCAAGGATGATGGAGGAGGCTCAATACATGGCTGTTGATCTGGTAGTGGTAATTCTTCTAAAAGATCTACATTGGACAAAGCGTCCTCCAGGGTAACTTGAGCAGTCATTCTGATTCTATCAAAAAAGAACAAGGTTTAAAAAAGACTTAGTATATTTCATTTCATGCTTATTCTTTTCTCTCTCGTTCGCTCTCTCTGCAAACATGCATATATAAATACCATGAAATAAACAAGTTTTTTTTTAAACTGGCAATGTGTATAAACAAGCAGTTTCACTGTGGTTTGCTTTAGGAGCAGAGGCACAAGTCATTTGTTGGTGTGTTATGTGTAGGAAGAAAAATATTCTAGCCAACCCCTTTGTTGATATTTGACACAAAATTCAACACAAAATGCTTTTCATGCTGATAAAGAGATGCTGAGATAACAAGGTTTACCACATCCTAAGGAGCATTAGTTTGCTAAACATCACATGTAGGAAATATTCAGAACAAACTTTCATCTAACATGGATGAGCTAGAAAACTCCTATCTTAGTGGTCAACACATCAAAAAACTACAAGAATCTTAACTAATGAAATAAGTGAAAGGGCTTACTACCTACTACAGACCCAGTACCTAATGTTTTGTTACTGAAATCTACCTTCACATCACTGGAAGCGCAGACGGGAGGGAACTTGCTATAGTTACTTCAGGGAACACCTCACTTGCTCCTTGCCTCTTGGGTCTCAGTGCTGAATGCTAGAACTGCAAATACACTCTCACACCAAACTTAAAATGCAGTATGATTCATATATCATATCACGGTCATTAGTACACTTTTGCACAATGAATTTTTTTTGCTATAGCTCCCAGTATGTCACCTAGCAACAGAATTTCTAGCTTCCTGTTGTTCTATATAACAGAACATCTTGCTTTCCTGTAGCCTCTGCACCGTCTTCATCTCATTCCATTTGATAACGTGAATGCTGCTATTGCTATAAACAACATAAACTCACTAATCTGGAAGCAATGACTCATATTCAAAAGGTTTGCCTTAACATACGCCTAGTTTAAGAAAAAAATCACTGATAGAAATAATACCAAATTCATTATTATTTTCTCAAATGCAGAATGCTGCTTTAATTCTCCAGACCTATTTCTAATGAAAACAAGTTCTCTAATAGACAAAATATATATGCAAATTTAGGTAGAGGAAGTTACCACTGTTGTTTTATTGACTACTGATGGCTAACATGCTAATCCACAGTCCAGTATTCTGAGAGGTTGCATAAAAATACCCAGAACAAATGCAGGATTAATCTAACAGGTAGAATGATTACATTCACTAAATGGACACGCAAATAGAGGCTGTTAGCTTAACAAACAGGTTTGGCATTCCTTCTTTGCAAGCTTGTTGGCAGCCGTATTTTAGGTGAATGCTGAGGTATCAGATTTCCCTTTCGTAAGCACATTCAAGGCACAATTCTTGATGACACCTCTTTCTATCCACAGTAACAAAGGAGAATGAAAACACAAAATATATTATAATATGACTGCCTTGAGGACTCAGAAATCACAATGAAATTTGGTACACATTGTTAGAGTACCGTTTCAAGTTCAAAGATAATCTGTCAAACTCAGAATAATGAAGGCAGTGTGACTGGCACTACGACCCTGGGCACCAAAATCTAGAGTGCAGGAAATCTGCTGCTGGAAGGACATGAACCCATCCATTGGTGTTTGTCACTGGACGAGTGTGAAGCTGGCTGCCCTGAGTGATGTACTACATCCAGTTACTCTTCACCCAGTAGAAGGAAATGCAAAACAGGTACGTCCAGTGCAGAACCAAAATGGTCACTGCACAGTGGTGCCTTGACTTACGAATGCCCTGACCTACGAACATTTTGACTTACAAACAGCTCCGGCCGCAAAATTTTGCTTTGACTTACGGCCGGAGCTTTGACCTACGAACAGAAACAGGCAGGGAAAAGGGGCAGGAAATTCAAAAAACGTAAAACGTTGGTGGCGAAGAGGCTGCTTCTTTGTACCTGGTTGGCCCAGTCTACCCCCCCCCGTGTGAAAGCCTGAAGGCGGCGATCAGCAGCAGTGGGGGACCCCCGGGAGGTCTCCCATGGAGGCAGGGAAGCTCTGGGAGACCTCCAAAGGTGGCGATTGGCAGCAGCGGGGGACCCCTGAGAGGCTTTGGACTGGTAAGGTGCTGCTTTTTTTCTTTTAAAAAAGTTGTTCTGGGTGGGTTTTGGAGGGTAGATTTGGGCTGGGTGGGTATGTTTCTGTGCCTCGTGGCGCAGTGGTTAAACTGCTGCACTGCAGCCAAAACTGTGCTCACAACCTGGGGTTCAATCCCCGGTAGCCGGCTCAAGGTTGACTCAGCCTTCTATCCTTCCGAGGTCGGTAAAATGAGTACCCAGCTCGCTGGGGGGGCAATGTGTAGCCTGCATAATTAACTTGTAAACCACCCAGAGAATGCTTGAAGCACTATGGGGTGGTATATAAGCAGCACGCTTTGCTTTTGCTTTGTTGTGTTTTTTTGTGATTTTGTTTTTAGCAGTCCCAGCTTGGGACTTGCTCCAATGTTTATTTTTGGATTTGTTTTGTTTTTGTTTTTTGTTTTTTTCAGTCCCAGTGTGGGACCTGCAGTGTTTTATTTTTATTTTTGGTATTTTTTTCCTTCGGCCGGAACAGATTAATCGGTTTTCAATGCATTCCTATGGGAAATGGTTCCAATACGGATTAAGTTCGCAAGTCAAGGCACCACTGTATGCTCAGACCCAGGTCTTCCTTCCCATTCCTCTCCCCTCTCCACACATACACCAGTTTCATGTGACACAAACATAACCAACAGGGCAGCAAAGCCTGAGGTACCAAAACTGCTAGTCAAATCCCCTATACAGTACTATTTCTGAAGGACAGACAGGAAAAAAATTCTCTGTAACATAACCTTCTCAGATTAAAACAGATTAACAAAACATTGTATACATACAGCATTTGCCTATTACTACTACATCAACTGCTATAATGCAAAACTTAACATCAGCAAAATGGAAGTGCTGCAAAATTTCATGATTTGTCAGATCACTCAACATAAGGCACTTTGATGAGTCTTGCTTTCCCCCTCCCCTTTATTCAAAGAAAGAAATTTTGGGTTAGAACAGTGGGGGGAGCGTCTTATACATGAGGGCGTCTTATGCATGGAAAAATAGGTAACTGAAACCAAGAAATAGCAGTCTTCCCTGGGTTTAAACCAACCCAGTTCCTTTTACAGATTCAAAATTCCTACTCCCCGTTCAGATGTTCTGATTGGCTGCTGACAGCAGCCCTCCTGACACCACTAGATGAAACATTTCCTGGCTAGTTTGGCAAACAAAGGATGAAAGACAGGTTACATTTAAAGGGGGTGGGGACATAAAACTTTTGTGTATCCCTCTTTTGTTAATGTGAATCACTCATGATTAAGAGTATCTATTCTCTAATCAATGAAAGAATATAAAATGTGCATAAATATTAAAGGCCCATTCCTAATGATGCCATCCAGCATCATCACTATCCAACGTTTCCCTATTCTCTCTCATCTTAGAAATAATCTTCATAGTAGCTGCAGAGAAAATATGGTTTTTCTAGCCACAGTACAATACTGGGAACTCCACTTCTCATATAAATCCTACTGACTTTAGTAGAACTAAATTTACTACAATTTATATACACACACTTTATTGGACCATTTACTTGGGCTTAGAATTGAACTTGCCCGCTTTATCAAACCACCATGGTTCTGCCTGGAAATGTTAATTTGAGGTGAAAAAGGAACCAACTTGTTGCTGTTTCACTTTACCAAGTTTGTATGCTTCCTCATTTTAGCTCTAGGCAAGCAAGAAAAGCCAATATCCAACTTACAGAAAAGACAGAAATAGTTTCATCAGCACAAATGCAGTGATTCAAAAACAAAGAATTCAGCAGACTGCCACATAGCTAGTCCTTGCTTATAATTCAGTACTTCTGGGCAGGTTGGAAAAGGATTCTCTTTACTGCTACAAATTACACAGACATTAGATAATTATAAAGATACTGTATACCTAAAACCTATGCCAGTTTCTTAAAGACGTATAAGCAAGTGAGAAATACAATTAAATGCTTTAATAAAAATTGCAAGGCCCCTTCATCATTGAAGGCAGTTTTTCAATAGTATTGGAACTTACAAAAGATCTCATCTGTACTGCATAAAGGTAGCAACCATTTCGTTCCATGCTAAGCACCTGATCAATAAAGGTTACTATATTTTCCATACTACTTTTATGTTTTAGCTATACAAAGAAGATGACAACGTAAGATTCCTAAATCTTCTAGTTGCAATTTAACGTTACCTAGCCTGCCTTTTATCAAAATTCTAGTCCTGTGCAATTCAGAGAATTTTTCATGGTGCTGGAAGAGTGCTCAGAGTATCCTAAAGTGGAACAAAGGCATTATTAACATTGTCACCTGATGCTACTGTAACCTAAATTTTCTTGTGATGCACTGGCTTTCCTTTACTCAAGCTGTCTACCTATTTGTCAAATATTCCTCATTCCTGACAAGTTTATCTAATAGAAATTGTCAGCTATTTAGGTAGATGCTGTTACCTCTCCAAGTTCTACATAGCATCCAGTACATAGTGATAGTTTAGTACAAAAAAGAATCAACACATTCTGTGGTAGCTTAATTAGCAAGACAAAATATTCTTCGAAACATTCTGATTTCAATTGTCAACAGCTATAGAGGAATGCACACTAAATTTCAAGGTAAGCCTATGGAGATCTGGATCACTGCTATTACTACTACATCAACTGCTATAATGCAAAACTTAACATCAGCAAAATGGAAGTGCTGCAAAATTTCATGATTTGTCAAATCACTCAACGTAAGGCAAAACACAGTATTTGATTTCTACCGAAACCCATTCAGTCTCCCATTTGTTTAACATCAAATCCTCATAATAAACAAGCCAATTATGCAGTTGTTTGTTTTCTTATCAAGAACTAAATTGTTTTCAGTGAGGTTTCAGACCAAAGGGAGTATAAAATTCACTTGGTCACCATGACATAGAACTTCAATGACAGATGCGCTTGATTTTTTTCTATTTCTCTCTGCATCATTTTATGCTGTGACTATTCTCAGACACTTTGCTAAAATGGTGACACGATGCTGAAATACTTGTAATTTTAATTATTCTTGCTGAAAAACTGAGAAGTGGTTCTATCAGACTTCTAATTTACAGTCAATGGTCTATGAGATTCTTCAATACTCTTATCTTCCTTCCCACTGGATAAAGTATTCTGGATATCTGAGCTGTAGGAAGTCATTCATGTATAGATGATTGCTATCTCTCTTTTCCATCAGATTTAGTCAAAATATCACCAATATGACAATTATACCCAGATGTTTCTCTCCCTACTCTCTTTTTTTATCTCAAGCCTTAAAGAGGCAGAAGTCATTTGGAACTGGTGTTACTTGGTGACAAGACTGAATGTGCTAATCTTCTGTAATGTGCTTCTGACTACTACTTCAATGGCCCAAATCCTGTTGCTTAGTGTAGTAAATTGCACTAGAACAGGCCCATTGAATCAACAGTGATTTGGCAAATAAATCTCCCATAAAAATCCATTAGCAAATTATTCTGTAAATTCCATTGATTCAAAATACCATACTCTAACTGCACTGCACTTTAGTATCCATTGAAATTACAGGGAAGTTGACTCTCTTTAAAACCCAATGGGCCTAATTTAGTCTGATTTATTATGCCAAGCAACAGGATTTGGGCCAATGTGTTCTACATCCATCTGCCTGGGTGGGAACTGAAGCTTAATCTAGCAAAATACAATTTCCAGAATACTAAAAGCAATGTGTCATACACAG